TTAGGTGTTACTTCTGTTCTGCAAAGTCAGTGTGGTTTCAGGATGATGTATGGGGAAAGATTTCTCATGAAATAGCAAGCAACATGGGGTATTTCTGAAGAATATGTTTTATTTTCATGTTATAATAACAGTGCCTATAAATGTTATTCCTTATGCCATGTTTCAACATATTATGAGATCATATGACCAGATATAGTTGTCGATATCTCCATTTCACACCTAATGAGAACCTAGGTCCATAGAAACAAGTGAACAATCAGCTCTCATTCGCAATTGAAATTAAGCATTCCGCTGAATGAAATCTGACAAGAATCACCCTACGTCTGCTGAGAATGAACAAATCATTTTCATAGTGCTCACTGAATTTAGTGAATAGTTTATTCCATCGAAAATTGAAGTAAAATGTTCATTAAAAACTCTCAGGTTTTGAAGTTTATTTTCGAATTTCGTTCAACAGTTTTAAATGTAAAAGACGGTTGAGGAGCTTGCACTTTCTGTGTTAAATAGGGTTTAAAAGGAACCTTTTAGAAATAATGAAAGACCTTCCACGATGCCAACTGCATATTTAATGTCATCCGAAACAGTAATTGTTATTGAAGTCCAAAGTTTATTCATCTTGACAGATGGTCCAGTGAACTCATTCAGAAACCACAAACCCAGTTTACCAGTGAATGTGCAAAATTACTTCAGATGCAACCTCAATACAGCTTCTATAATTCTTTCACATTTGTGAATGACTCTTGGACATGATGTTCTTAATCGTTAAAATATGTTTTTAAATTCCTTCACATCCCCAGTAGAAAAAGGGGCTTCAAACTAGAGCTAAGAAGTTTCAGTAGCAGTGATACTTAGTTTTACAGCGTGGGGTTGCCATCCCTATTTCAAATGTTTCCTACTTAACGGTCGTATTACCAGCCTAGTGATGTAAAAGAGTTCGTCAGCCTGAGACCGTTCAAATATTTGTCTTACACGAATAATCCAGTGAAATTAATTACCCGTAATTTCAAATTCCGTGGCTTTATCTGCCAATATTTGTTAAAGCAAAGTTGCTCATTCACAGTGAACATTTCCCCACTTATAACGTGAATGTTTACCGTGATGACGAAAATAAATAACTAAACAAGTTATCTTAATGCGGTTAACATACAGAAATGAAAATTCCCTAAGTAACATTGAGAAAAACAGATATATATGAGTCATGTTTCTCAAGACTGAGTCACTGTAGGAATATCTGCGATGCGTATTACTTCATAAGCGATATCCATCATATGCTAGTCTATGCGACTAGTCTAACAGTTGGAAAGCTTGAAGATTTTAGTTACTTTCTTGTTTCTAATAGGGATATTGAATAAGACAGAGGTTTTGGATAATTAGCAAGCAGGAACCCAGGCAAGGAGGCAAAATTGTGTCTGTTTTTCAATAGAAATGCCGACAAATTGCTTTTGGGTTATAAAGAACATGAGCATACCACTAACTGAACTCAAGAGTAAGGGTATTGCTCGAGTTGAGCCTGCATCGAAAACGATGAATTCGACATCCAAGATAAGGGCCTTATGACGATCACGAGACTGGCTAAAAATGACTACGGAAAGAAATAAGATGAAACTGAGGGAATAATGTTTAGTAATAGTACACAAACTGTGTTTTAATGAAACCTACCAAGAAATGTGAATATTCAAATTAAAAGTTTATAAGTATGGTGGACGAATAATTAGCTGTGGATATATTCAGAAACCGAAAAACGTTATAGTGCACCATCAACCCTTCTTGAATAAACTGCTCAGGACTTTTGATTCCAATGCTTAGATTTCAAGATATATATGATGTGGTTGAATGCAGCCATTAGTGGTAAGATTCAATGAGTTGAGATAATGACATCTCATATCCGGATTTTTAAGCAATTTCATTGTGAAAATAATAGACTTTACGAGTTTTCACTTTTCATAAGAGAATTCTGCTGTGAAAATGGAGTTATAAAGGCACTCGATGTGCTACAAACCTTGTGAGAACTTTGGCATCATACAATATCTATCTAATTTGTACAGAAAAGCTTATGATTAACTAATCATATGTTCCATAGTATAAGACTGAACCATAAAGAAGAAGAGATTCAAATTTATGAATATTTATTTATCATAAATGACATCTCATAACCAGGGTAGAAATATTAGTTCACTTGTGCATTTGAACACGATTCCTTAGATTTGTCAAAAGGAGAATACATCGCCGCAAACAGTAAAAGCATTTCCAACCATAAAGAGAATGCTCGAAATATGATTGTACAGTATATATCTCCATATGAGATGCATACACGTCTTCTATTTACCGTCAAGAAAATAGCCTACAATGTAAGAATATTACGTTACATTAAACAATTTATAAATTGCAGTTAAAACATTATTGCTTATAGCAGATGACTATTTCATTCTTAAATATTAGTAGTACATGATTACTGCCAGATTTATATTTGCATGAATTAGCTAAACTGAATGTAAACTTTTCAGAAAAATGTTTATATTTCAATATCTAAGCTGATTTACACAAGACTGGATGCTATACACCAAAATATGGCCTTCAATTTAATTAATAACCATCTAGGCAAACGAGAAAGATGTACTAAGAATCTACCAACAACACGTACAATGAACTGAAACCCTGAGGGTCCCGCTTGCCATATATGTATGGCCTTCCACAGACACACAAGAAAGAAGTTCCTCTGAGACCTGCACTTTCGATGATCAACTCTCCCCACCATAAGGTTGCCCATTGGCTTGCGGAGAAGTTGGAACCCATACGCCAAAGGCTAGCCGTGATCCACATGAACATTTCAAATAAGTTCATGGCTTCATTTGATGCAACCTCCTTGTTCACAATGATCCCAATCAATGAAACCATTGAGATCATTTGTCAACAAACTGATCTTCTCCCACTACCAGAGCCTACTACTAATGGGTACCATGGGTATTGAATTTCAGTTTTACAACACTCTTTACTGAGAAGTAGATGGTGTAGTTATGGGCAGTCCACTTAGCCCTGTTTTAGCAGGTATCTTTATGTCAAACCTTGAGAAAACAAAACTGAGGCATGCAATTGATCAAACAACTTCCTACTGTCGATATGTCGATGAAAAATTTGTAGTATCCAACAACGAGAGTCATGCCTCCTACCTATTCAGACTATTCAACAACGCACATACAAATATTGTATTCATTACGGAACATGAAAATGATGGAAAGTTCCATTTCCTTGACGTCGCCATGCAACGCCTAGTAGATTGTAGTCTCGAGAGGTCAATCTACCGAAAGCCCACATGGAATGTACGATACATACATTTTAATAGTTTTTGTTCAAATAGCTACAAACGAGCACTTGTCAAGAATCTGTACTATTGAGCGAGTAGAATATGCTCTGCAGAGAAACTAGAGGAGGAATTTACGAATCTCGAAAAGGTGCTGAAACACAACAGCTATCCTCAAAGATTCATTAACAAATATGGAAGATGTGAAGGTTCATATACCAAACAAATCGCACTTAAAATAAAGCCTGTCTTCATTCAACTAGGTTTTAAAGGTAAATACATTGCATAAATGGTCAACAGAAGACTGACAACGTCACTAGCCAGAGCCTATCCTGCAGCTAGCTAAGTTGGTTCCCGTCCATCGAACAACATGCTCTTTGGTACAGTCAAAAGTCGATAGATACCCTTCTCATGTTAATTCCAACTGTGTATACAAATTTACGTGTATCTGCGGGAGCAGTTACATTGGGAGAACAGAAAGAAGGGCACACCTCCGTTTTTTCTGAACATGTGTCCAAAAGCATACGTCTTAAGGGAACAAACTCTTATAGTAGCGCTATTATCAGATATCTCCTCGACACGGGTCATGAGGTGGAATTCGAGAAATTCTCTAAAATTATCAACAGACAAAGGAGCTCCATTCTCCTCACGTCTGCCGAAGCGATTTCCATCAAACTCTTGAAACCGAATTTATGTGTTCAGAAAGAAGCAGTTATTAGTCTTTCCCTGCCTTGGTAACTAGATGTCTGTTTATCTCTCATCTGATTACGTAATCCTTGTCTTTAACCTTACCCTCCTTTTATAATCTGTATTTTTGCTTGTCACTTATTTCAATGATTTGAGTTGAACTCAGTACATTGTTACTTAACTTATTAGTCACTATGCATCTAACGCACATCTCATCTTTATTGTGTAACTCCCTTAGCATTATATGCATACATTTATTTTGTTTTAACTTGAAATGCCTGTATAAAAACTATATAAGCGCAGTTTTCTGAGCACTGTTTACTAATCGTGAAACTTTCTGTCAACTGACAACATGTAAAAATTGCAAGTATCTTAGAACGTTTCTGTAATTAAACCTCAAAATTTATTTAGGCTGTAAGCAGTTGAGCTGATGAGAAGCCAACGAAATAAACAATGATGGTACCACGTTATTCTGCACAAACCATCACTGTTATTCTCACTTTATTCAAAATCTACCAAGTAACTACTAATACATCTTTCTCTAAGTAGGCTGACAAATTCACTCTTCATTTTCTCAATTTATTCTCTATTTCAACTTACTTTTCTGTCTTATGGATAGAAAGAATGAGCAATTACGCGAATTGTAAGCAATGAGCTATTTGAAAGTGTTCATATTCAGAAATTTCACAATAAAATGGTCAAGTTATAAACACATTTTCAACTTAAATGTAAATGTGGAATCTTAAGAACAAATCAGTGATATGAATTCAATTGGAATCGCAATCTTAACTGACCTTGTTCAAGAGAAGATTGAGAAAAGATTTTTGAATTGTTTTACGCATACATGAGGAAAAAACTTACTAACACCATGGCGACACTGAAGCAAACCCCAACGGAAATCCGTAATATCTGTTGGAAGAATGAAGGTTGAGGTGCAGAAATTTGTTAAAATACATAAAATGAAGTTGAAGATTTTCAGATCCCAGAAATCGAAGTATCAAATTTTCAGATTTCTGAAAATGAAATTGTTGATGAACTGATGGTATCCAAGTTATATACCTATACTGATGAATCAACTTGAATAGTAAACATGCCTAGTAATCTGCCTAATTATGCATTCACGATTGCTTTGTCATGTCGTTTTTTGCATGGTAAATCAACGTTGATGTGTCTCAAACATTGTGATAAAACCAACTGCGTAGTTGATTGTAGGGTGTCTGCTAGAATAATATAAATTTTCACAATAAAAGGTTTCAAAATATCTTGATAATTCCAGTGACTATCGTCACGTGTTGTACAAGTAATTTTGAAAATGTGCAAGTCTCATCATGAATAATAAAGAATCAAAATGTAATATGTGCCGTCATTTAACGGATTGTGTGCAGTATCCTGACGATAATACCTAACGTTCGAGGATCCGTAAAATTGGAACTACTTGACTTTCAGTGCTAAATTGCTATGTATTTTTGTTATCAGTATTACAACCTCTCATACACATTAAAACACCATAAATCAATTCAAGAGTTTCAGAAAATGTGATTCAATTCGCTTATTTGACTGTCAAGTGTTTTTTCTCACCTCATTCTCAATGAATGTATCAAAAACTAAGTCAAAAATTGCAAATGTCTATGCTTATATCTTGTCACATTTGATCAGTGTTACCTGCTCTGGTTTCTTGAAATTGAATGCAATAATGAAAAGAATAACTCCAACCAGGACAGAAGAGCATAAAAGTGAGAAAAATGTAATGGTTGATCGAAATTTTATATTTCTCAGATAGAAAGCCAGGATGACCACAACTGCAGTCAATGCAATCGTAGAACCAACTGCTGCCAAAGCAGGAACCAAATCAATGGTATGGAACCTGATAGTGAAACCCATCGAACATAGTAAGAACTAAAATGAAAGAAAGTATAGGATTGGTAGATTATAATAATGAAGTACATATCATAAGGAGAGAGATTTATGGATTGCCGGGGTCCTATTATGACATTTTATTATTATGTTTGAGTACCAGTGGAGAGTCTTTTATTTACATCCTTGAGTTTTCGTTGTCGACATTAGACCACTAAACTTTACTTGACAGCACGAATAAATTAGCCTAGGTATCACCATTTCAATTACTGAAGTTATCTAGCAGAACGCACCTACTCCTAGATGTATATGTATATCTACATGAATACATGAATAATTACAATGCATACCATGGCATTAAAAATATTTTTCAGCACCGGACGTTATTGCTCTGAAAGTGTCTTCAATAAAACCTAACACAGTCTATCTTCCTGTTTATCTGCTTTGCAAAATCGGTGAAAAGGATTTTGATATTTCTTTGGTGTTTAAATACGGTTGACACTATGCAGTACGATAATTCTACTAGCATTTGTTGATTTATTCTTCTTAAGCACAAGGTAAAGCTGTTGCACCCACACATGTTTGATAAGCGCGAGATTTCGTTCCGAATCCCGGTGGGTGCGTACCGCTGAAAAGTCCTATACTAGGACGAGAAGCCTGTCCATTACTCCAAGTTTTCCAAGGGTTCTCTAACTAATGTGAGATCATGATGAAATTCTGTCAACCAATCAAATCCCTACAAACCAACCCTTGGATATCAATGAGAAGCCCTCTAGCTACCTGGGATTATAGTGACAATTCGTGACCTGTAGGTTGCAGCAGGCCAGGTGTGAGAACAAATACTCGTCGAAGCCACTGGCTAGCGGTTGCGCCATATCGTGAATTTTTAAGTATTGGTTTGTTGTAGGGATTTTGTTTGATTGCATGGAGGATTTGATCATGAGCTGACATCAGTTAGAGAACCACTGGAAAACCTGGGAGTACTGAACAGCTGTTTCGTCCTAGTTTGGGACTCCTCAGCAGTACGCACCCACCGGGATTCGAACCCAGGACCTTCTGGTTATCGTGAATTGGCAGAGGTAAGAATTCATGGGCCATTGGATCGGTTCCCAGTGGCCTAATGATCTACGAGTTAGTCCGCCTTGTAACAAGAATGTCTTGGGTTGGAACCATGGGGTTAGGTGCGTACTGCTGATAAGTTCCAAACTAGGACGAAACAGCTGTCCAATACCTACATGTTTTCCAACTAATCCAACCCCTACAAACTAACACTTGAATATTAGTTCCCATTACTTGTGAATCTATTCAAACAACACTAAAGCACGTCTCACTTTTCATTGATGACACCTAACAGAAAATATAGTTGGAAATAAGAATTGGATGGACAGGTGTACGATAAGAAGATGACTAACGACGGAAATATTGTTGTCGAAACGCGCAAATAATATTGACTAAATGTTTCTGAAATTCACTCCCATTAAAAGACGTTCTTGGATTCACATAGTTGCGTGATATATATGTCGTGCTGAAATATTTATATACTTATTTGCTATTGAATTCCTCACCCTGCACAGTGTGTTACTTCAGAAAAACAGAAACATCGACAAATGCACATTGAATTGCTCGATTTCTTTGTGACAATTGTATTTACTTTAGTGTCGGTGATGGCTGTATCCCTTATCATCTGAAACCGTCTTGAGTATTTCAAAGCTTCAACTATGTGTGGTTAATCATTCACACAAACACATTATCACGGGACCATACCGAAGTTTTTTTCCGTGTTCATAAAATGCGTATTAACACCGCATTAGTTTCAGGCATATGACTTTTGTTTGTAATGCGTTGAACGGTTCAGTTAACTGAGGTAAAAGACTTACACTGAATGCGATGAAAAAATGACCAATCTCACGGCGATATCCAAGAAGTTTGAGTAATCCGAGAACGAGAACTGGAAGTGCTCCAAGCAATCTGAAAAGCAATAAGTTATACCGGTTTAATTAACACCGTGACTAAAGTTTTGTTTTTAAATCAGGCATACGTTTATATGAGGAGCGGCATATATTCTGTGGATGCCACCCTGACCTTCATGCAGAAAGCAGCAGGTTATATTACGAAAAATTTTTGCTTCAGTGGATAACTAGTATAAAACTGTTGCAAAACACAACATGTAACACGACTACGCGCTGATTGTCATTTTCATTCAAATTTTACGGAATAACTTCTTTCAGAATACTTCCACGATTTTGTCAATAATTATTGATGCAGTCGTTAGACAGACAGCAGAATAAAGTGAGATTACAAAGGTGAACACTTGCGAAAATCTAATCCTCAATAAGTTATAATATTAATTGATTTATTACGTTTGAAACCTGTGATAAAAAGTTAATTGTATGTGCAAAAGTATTGGCTGGAAACATCATAAAATCGACTCACATGAGGACAATAGTCAACCAACTGTGTGTTGTAATCCATATACAAAGTGCTTTGCTATAGAAAGGAGGAAATTATTTCACCAAAATGGCAGTGAAATTCAGTCTTACATTTTGTTCACCATTACAACCATGGTCAATGTCACCAAGAGCATCAGGAGTGTATCAATTAACATCTATGGTGAGCAGTTTGAGAAGAATGCGTCAATTGCTTACCCAGACGAAGAAGTGTAAGAGACTACCTGGTCTCATACTCAAACGTGAATTTTTAATCGGTGGAATCTCAGAGTTTCCCGCGACATTTTCTGATCTGTATAATGTTTAAAAAAACACAATATTTCGGAAAATATAAATGCGAAAATACAGTTAGTGTGAAAATGGTATTTTGTATGCGCGTGGAAATCTGATCCTGATCGATGCGTCTGTGTTTTCCAATACCCATCACCTTTATTTTTATCAGTGCTACTTGCTGGATTTGTGTGAATACCTGTATTATCAACTGGGCATTACACTCCGATCACTCAAACGACAATCACGAGGAAATATGTGGATTGACCATCGTGATGTTACCAACCTTAGCCAAGGCTCTAATGCAGTGGAAGCCGACCTCGTCAAGGATTGTGACAGCAATGAGGAATTCAAAGTGAGGGTGGGTAAGAATCATCCAATGTTTCGCACTTATGAATAATTCGCAATAAGAGAATAAGGATGGCTTTCACGGACAACTTCAAGCAGTGATGGACAACATCCCAAATAGAAATACTTAATTCCTAAGAAGTGATATGAATGTCATCTGACCTTGCAGCGGATATTGCTTGAATACAACTCGTCGTGTGTCAAGAGGCCTTCGAAGAATGTCGAGAAAAAAATGGCAATGGAGAATTCCACATTGACTTATGTGCTTTCAGTGACTGGGTGTTAAAGCATAAGTATATACACAAAACAACATGGGTTTCATCTGACGAACACAATAAAAATCAAACGGGCTTAACCCCAATGGTCTTCGATAAAGTAAAGGCGCATTCTACTGGGCAAAAACATCAGACGATGAGCAGATATCGACGATATTACTTCAATCAAAGAAAGATTTAGCAGTTCAGTAGCATTGATAGCTGTGTACGGCAAAAGTAACTCTTCTATTACATCACCCTGGATGTTAGTGAAGGAAACATCAAGGTTCCACTTAACTGTCTTATTTGTGATAACTTAAGTATTCACAATTCTTGGTCATTAACTGTCCTGTTTCCACAGATTCTTTAGTTCCCAGTCGTTTGTTTTCCCTAAGAAACTGTTATTGTGTGCAGGATGTTCAATGAAACAAAAACTCCCTTTTACATGATAACATATACTCAGAATCAAGAACATTCACTATAAATGCCAAGTAAAATGGAAAGCAGACAATGCGCATGGTGCATTCAACTATACATATATATTTAATATAGGCAACAAAAATCAAGTTTATGAAGACGCAGATCTCACTACATAAAACTGAAACTTAAAACAAAACTGTCACGCACTACTTACTTATCATGCCTTTCAATCTTCTTATTTTCATAAATCAGCATGTCAGCGAACACTTATATAGTATCGTTTCGTTAGTATTTTGTTTTTAGTTTATTATTGAAAAAACATGGACCTTGATCTTCACAAACAAAGAAATAAAAATGTTTCTATGTTCATGTTCAATACGAAAGCATCGATGAAATCCAGTCAAATGTGCCATTCGTGAGGTATTTTTTTAACTGATGGTTGTTTTACTGTTCAATCTATTGATCTTACTTTTCTTAACGAATAATGGAGTTTTGACGGCCTTAATCTTATTTCGACAATACTTTTATTCTTTGTATGATTGTAAGTGCCACCATTTTCCTTTAACCAATTCTTTAGATTAGAGGTTTATTCGATGAAACATACTGAACCAATTTCTGCAAGTAAATTTTGTGAGATCCATCGCTATCACAAGGTCAAGTATGATCACTAAATTTTTTTTGATTACAGCTTGAATCCACACCGTAATTCTGGTACAAGTTTGAAATTTTTTGACATGTGATATCGGTAGCCATCCAAGTGGGACATCCGTATTGATGCATATGATATATGCGGAATATTCAGGATATACAGAGAAAATGAATTATATTCAACTCACAGCATTCACTGTGCTTTCGAAATATAAACTAACGATGGGTCTGTATGTGTGAGTTACAAATATAAACTCATAAAATTTATTAATCTAGCGTTCTACAGAAATAATATTTTGAGATGACTAAATATATCAGCTTGGACGTAAAGACTTACATTGACTAATACCAAACACGTGCAATTGGAATGACTTATCAATCACACCGTAAATATGGAAAATACTACTACCAATCAAACCAAGCGATGACAAATAATGAAATGATATAAACAAACCTTGAAAAGCTGTGTGAGTACCTTGACATGATTATGAGCAATAAATTGTGCTCGAAACGTCATCAGTAAACATTACTGTATAACACTGTGAGACTTTACCAAAGTAAATTTTTTTCATTATGGGGGAAACGACAAAAATCGCCTGAACCGTTTTTGTATAAAATGTTTTGTCTTTTTGTTATGTATTGCCAAAGCTTCTGCTATAAAAGCAAATGTATTCCCGTCCGTTTCGGCACACTTTGTCGGACTTTGTAGACTATAATATATATGTATATATATATGCATGGTCAATGTCTACAGGATGTTGCACATCACATTTATTACTGAGGAATATACACTTCCCTGGTTCCATGAAAATTGACAGCATATACACACAATGTACCTTCATCTGTTAAAAATGGTGTTATTAATTTCACTGACGCATGTCATGTTTGTCTGTGCTTTTTCAAAGGGCAAATTTCAGGAGAAGGAAAAAGGCATTCAAGCATATTGCTCATGGTAATTCAACTTCACTGTACCATAGACTCAAAATTAAGGATCATTATTCGCAGTTGTAGCAGACAATATGCTGAGTAGACGTATGTAAAGGAGGATGTACGGCCTAAATGAAAGAATAAACGATAATTTATTCGTCATGACGTATAGTATTTGAGACAACGCACGCACTGATTTAGATGCTTTTTTATTTCACTAAGAAACATTTCCTCCAAAATGTGACGCTCAACTGTAATCACTGACCAGTTTTACGCAAACATCGACTCAAAGCGATGCAAACGTAACAACAAAGATGAATTAAGTTGACTTCATTATTCTGTTACTTCTCTTCATATTTCTTTGAATCATGCTTCTTTTTAAATGCTTCATTACTTAAACTCACTTGTTTTATTATTGACTTAAGATTTAACTTAAACATTTATGTGTTGAATTTTTAGTTAATTTTTGGAAGTGTGAGACAGATATATTTGAGAATGACCATTTTCCTGCATTTTACTAGAGTAATTATAATGGTAAAATGGTACTTCATGCACAGTTACATTATCCACTTCTCCTAGATTGCCTATAATCGAATTTCGTTGTCACTATGGAGATCTAATATATTAAAGTGTTCATAAGTTTCCTTAAATTCAACAGTTAAGTATGATTTCACTATTAGAATATATCTGAATATCATTTCACGTTTAAAATCCATGAATGAAGCTCTATGATAGTGATCACCTTTGATTATTTGTCTACTTTTCTTATGATATCAACAATGCAAAATAGATCTCGTGCCTCTTGTATTTACATGTGAAGTTATCCATTAAATTTTAAGTGTACAGAGAACTAGTCAAGTCAAAACTTTCTGCGTGTCGTCATGACCAACCCTCTCTTTCACCGTAAAGGTTATTGTTTGCCCTACACGTTTTCGAATGAAAGCACTACTCATTCAAAATTCAGGTGGTAAAACAAAGCCTGGTGATTTAATGACTAAAATAATATATAAAATAAAAACATATAAACATATATAAAATAACATATAATAGCACAAATAACAAAATATTCACAGGAATTCGGAACTCTGTATTTGATGATTTACCTATGACAAACAAGCGAATGTACATAATCAGGGATTTCTCAATAAATTATGAGAAATACTGTCTCCCTTAAAACACATAATGTATCCTCATTTTTGTTTGGATTAATATTCGTACATAAGACAGCATGAATGCTGAAAAAATATTGTCCTGAGAAAGTAGTCAAATTAAATTTCATAAGTTAGTCATAATTGAATATTAGACATGATGATTCATTGAAATATCCACATTGAAGAATTCTTCAGTGCGTTATCTTCATGAGTAGCACCCAGTGAGTCATTCTTAGAAAGTATTCTCTATTATGTAAATGGGAACGGCTAGCGATTCATCAAATAACTATGCAGAATATCGTTTCTCACTTAAGCAGTACCCTGTAGGAGTATGCATGCGAGTTTCACATTATTCAGTATTTGACACAAATCACCGACGCAGTTATAATTATAATTTGTACTGAGTACTTGCAGTTTTCAGATGGTATTCTGATAGAGTATTTCATTGGTTTCAAAACCTTTCATGTCGCTAATAGACCATGATAAGAAAGTGGTCAGTCTTTTCGATGCTGTTTGATCAGTCTTGTATGCTCATGTTGATACGTTACTAATAAAAGTTGAAAAATCAATGAAGGACCCAATTAATTAGAATACCGTGAAAAATCTGTGAGTTAAAATATAATCGAATTTATCTTTTCACTTCTAATCACGACCACTTTCATCCAAACGTCTGAAGAAATATACACTGGGAGTAATTCCTCAGCTATTTTGAATGTCTAGAATGGTATGCTATATATAGGGGGGACGAATACCTTTTCACTGTAAGATTTCATATGACATAGTCTTAAATTCCATCGAACACGTCTACCGATTTGAAAGTACACTAATGCATTTCTGCCGCTGTGCATTTTGTATTTTTGAATAATTGTTTTGCTTCTGGGTGGATCAAAGAAAACACTGGGCTGAACACTTCGAAAGACTTCTAAATCGTTCGTCACCTGCAACGTGCCCAACAATACCAACAACGGGAGCAGAACTACCAGTGAACATCGACCCCTGGACAAAATCAGAAGTCCTGAATGCAATCAAGATGCTAAAAGCTAAGAAAGCACCAGGACCAGATGGAATCCCACAGAAGCATTGAAAATGGACCCAGAGACAACAGCGGACTTGATGACGCCACTGCTGGAGAAGGTGTGGAAAGAGGGAAAAGTACCTGAGGATTGTAAGAAGGGATACTTATTTAAACTACCAAAGAAAGGAGACTTCAGTCAATGCAAACACTGGAGTAGAATTATGTTCCTGACCATCCCAAGCAAAATACTAAGTTGCTTCATCCTGGAGAGAATCAAACAAGCCCTAGATGAAAACCTTCGACCGGAACAAGCTGGATTCAGGAGAAACAAGTCATGTACTGATCAAATCGCCACACTACGGATCATCATTGAACAAAGCTTGAAATGGCAGTCACCTCTCTATCTCAACTTCATCGACTTAAAAAAGGCCGTCGACAGCGTCGATAGAGAGGTGACTTGGCAACTACGTCGCTACTACAGCCAAGAGGTGCCATCGACAAGTATACATCTCATCCAACAGTTAAACGACAATGCTGCATGACAAGTAATCCACAACGGAAAACATACTGAATCCTTCGAAGTGGGGACAGGAGTGAGGCAAGGTTGCCTACTATCACCAATGATCTTCCTGATTGCAGTAGGTTGGATAATGCGACAGACAGTGGAAGGCAGCGAGGGAACAAGCATAAATTGGACTCACATAAAAAGCTTGGAGGATCAACACTTCGCCGATGATATATGTCTGATTTCCCACAAACTGGAAGATATGCAAGTCAAAAGCAACAAGCTGGCAGAAGAAGTATCAAAGATAGGACTTCAGGTGAACATAGATAAAACAGAGGTGATGAAGATTCCTGGCCAACACCAACAGCAACAACAACAACAGACGACAATCAGCTAGCATAAATGGGAAGAACCTGAAAGAAACAACCTCCTTCACCTACCTGGGAAGCATCGCAACAACTACAGGCAGACGGAACTGACAAGGATATCAAAGCCACAATCAGAAAAGCAAGACAGGCTTTCACTACTCTTAAGACTGTGTGGAGGTCAACAGCACTCAGAATCAAAAATAAGATCCGGATTTTCAAATATTAGACAAGGGAAATAACAAGAATGCTAGGGAATTTTTAGAAGCTTGGCATTCCAGTGAATCATCAATCAATAGACACATCGAGACAGACAAAATTTATCAACCAATAAGAAAGAAACTTCACACACAAAAGGTCAAAGTTCGAGTCAAAGAAACAATCAGTTCCAACACAAGTAACCTACAAGGTGTGAAAACACATAAACAACCAATCACGTCCAAGGTCACCAGGAGGAATGATTAATTAACTCATGGAGAAACCTAAAAGCTCACTTCAAATTGAAGTATGCGCTAAAGATGAAAGCTTCGCAAACTAACCATTCAGCTCAGAGAACAAAACCACATCAAAATTATCCACCTGAGGTACAAATCTTCTCTATCATATCTGGATTTTCAACTCCAAT